AGAGCAGCAGCATGCGCATGTTCACTGAACCTCTGCTGCTGTGGGATTTTTATGTGTGCAAGTGGGAGTGTGATGGCACTGTTAGTTCCCCTTTTTTTTTCTATTTGTGTGAGAATTGAGGTAAGAGAGAACAATAAGTGAAGACAGCAGGTGCTCTCCATGGATGCTTCCCACTCATCACTTCACTCCAGCTGCCTTAGTGGTGTAGTAGAGTGTAAATATTTACATTATCTCAGTTCGATTTCCTGTTCCGCCCTCAACCTGCACCTGTATGTTTCACCACTCACTCCTTGGCTGCCCCTTGTAGAATGGCCTCTGTGGTGTAGGATCACTTGACAGTCCGTTTGGCTTGCTCTTTTGGACTTGATTAGGCTTTCAGATTGTTAGCTGAAGAGTCTTGGCAGTGGAGGATGCTGCTTTCAGGAGATCTTGACTTTATTCTTCTCGTCAGATGAAATATCTTAGCTATTTCTGCTTCTTGGTGATGCTATAAGATTTATTTCAGGTTATCTGTTCCTTCAGCAAAATATTTCCCCTCTCCTTTATCGCTTTTGAAAGATCAAACTTGAACTGTAGTCTTACATTAGTATGAAATTTCCAGTCTATCTTTTCCTAAGAATTTGTAGGATCATTTAGAAGACAATTACAAAAAGAAAGTTATAATAAATACATGTTTTGGGCAAAAGTAGAGTTACAGTTAGAAATTTCAGATCCAATGATGCCATCTTAGTGATACATCTGTGTTTTCAAAAGAAAAAGTGTTTCAGAAAGAGTAAACAACAATATAAGCAGCCTTGGAGAAGTAGCTTAGTACTTGCCTTCTAAGATTCGCATGCTGAAGCTATAGTACAGTTTAGGATTTTCTTCTTGCTGTTTTTAGTGCGTGTATCCAACTCTTACACACAAAAGCAGTGACAAGCTCTTCTACATTCCACCATAACTGAGACTCAAAACACTTGATGTATTGGTGAAGGCTACCAAGACAAGTAAAAGAGAATTAGAGTTTAGTGTGAAAGCTGTATATACTTGAAGAAATGGACTTGAATATTAACAGATTAAAAATAAAACAAATGGATTATGGATTAAAATGATAATATGAGTTTAGAACCTTCTTAACCACAGTCCTTTGCTTCAGATTTGATAGAAGAAATGGTGTCAGATATATATGACAAAATACTTCCTTTGGGTAATCCTTTTTTTTTCCTTCCTTTTAAAAAATCTGTTAGCTTCTTTCCTCCAAACAGAATTTAGTGCGTTTTACCCTCATTTGGACAAAAACATACTGATTTTTATGATCCCAGTCCAAAACGCTGGGAGAAAACATTTAGTGATAAGGGGTTCCAAAGACGAATAATGTGCTTGATTAAAATAAAATTTGTTTTCAGTTTGGAAGCTCTTCTCAGTTTAGTTCATATTCAATTTGTATATGCCACAATATAAAACTACTAAATTACTGAAATCTCCACTAGCATTAGTTAATGTGAGGTATTGATTTTCTCTGTATTTTGGGGAATGGCATAGTAGAGAGTACTCCACAATCATTTAGTCACTGAATTTCACTGGAATCTGATGACCAAGGAATAAGTTTTAGTGCAGAAAGATGCACAAGTTGCCCTGTCATACCTCTTGTATTATGGACTGCTGGCCACATACAACAAACATAAGATTTAGTAATGAAAATGCTAGTGCCACACAGAGACAGAAGACTGTAATACGGTAGCAATATTCTTCGTTGTTTCTCACGTTTATTCACATTTAGAATATATACACTAAATCTGGATTTCTCTACTGTTTATTAGTGAAAGAGAATATTTAACATGAGGCAAAGTCTTCTAGAACGCTTGACGTTACTTTGGGGTTTTCTTTGTTTCTTTTTGATATTGGGACCAGCTACCCATGAAGCTGCTGCAAGAGAAGTGTATAAAAATTAGTTAATTATGTTACTCTTAAAAGGGAAGGATAAGGATATTTCTGATCTCTGTGAGATGAAGCCAATGTTGAAAAAGTGTGGTACTGTGTGTGTAAAATAACTAAAACTTTCATTTGTAATTTTTTTTAATTGTGAATGAATCTGTCAAGGGCGAAGACTCTTTAAAATTACTCTTCCAGCTAAAGAACCTGTGGATGAATTCTAGAAAATGCATTACTTCACTGTTGCCAAATTTTAGTGAAGCTGGATCTGTATATCAGCAGGTTGTTTTCACCTTCCGTTAGGCAGTTGTATTGTTTTCGTATGTACCAAGACCATACACAGTTCTTGGCATGTTTCACTGGAGCTTTGGCCATTTGTCTGCACAATAATAACATTTAATTTCCATTTTACCTGCTTTGTTGTAGAGTGTTATCTAAGGACTTGTAAAATAGATTATGATAAATTGATTAATCTGTTCTAAGTTTTTGAGTGAGTTGCTCATTTCTGCCAAGCACTGGTAGCCTCCCATTTTTCTTTCTCTGTTTCTGCAGGCTGCCTTATATCGGCTGAGTGGGGATTGGAATCCTTTACATATTGATCCAAGCTTTGCTGCTCTTGGAGGTGAGCTGAGGGATACCATTGTATTAATACTTGGACAAAAGATGACATAAATGTGGTTTTAATCTTTTTTTCACTTAGTCTGTATGTCTTTAATAAGCTGGAAAAAGCAGTGCTTTTTTTATAGCGGTTCTTAGAGTCACCATTCGGTATCTTCAAAATTCTGCGTGACACTTGATTTTAAAGCATTGCTTCTTGTAACTGGGAATGCGGAATGATGCTCTGCCTGCAATGGAAACCTGCCTCCTACCCTATTTTCCTTTTAGAGCTAATTTGTTGCCACTATCCCATCTTTACAATCTCTGTTTCATAAGCATAAATAATTGACTATCAAAATTCCTTGGTAGATAATTCTTGTGTCTAAATAATTTTGAAGTTATGTTGGTCTCAGTGGAATTTTTTTTGCTTCTCAGTCTCCATAAATCTCAGGAAGGCAGGAAAGATTTATATTTTTCCTATAAAATTGCTTTACTGCACCTCCTGTTAGTGCGGTAGCTTGTTCTTTAACGTAATGCTACATGCCAAAGCAACAGACCATAGACTACATTAACTGATTCTTGCAGAGATGTAATTACTAAAAAAGGGTCTTGTTCCCTTAAATTTCTGTTGTAAAGGTATTTTTCAGAGTTCTTTTCATGCCTTGCTAGTAGCATAGTGTGATTACTCCAGGCAGACTGAAATTTCATTTACATAAGAAATTTTCCTGAATATGTGTGCTATCATCATAAATCATATTTTCTTAATACATGAAAATACTGGTCTGTACTAATCGGTCTGCAGTTTTCTGGTGACTTCTTAATGTAGAGGTATCATTGTGTGATGTTCTTACCAAGATAAATAGAGCGGAGCTATGCTTCCTTGTTGAGATGATGCTTAACGTACTTCCACAAATCATCTCCTTTCATAAATGCATACTAATTGTTTGATTAACTCTGTTTTATATAATTCTATTTAAATTTGTGTTAATAAATAATGATAATCAAATACCAGAGTCCATAAAGAGATTTCCTCAGTTTATTGAACCATTCTGTTTGTTTGTTCAGCTGATGACTTCAAGTAAATATTTACATGGAGTCACCCAATTACTCTTGAAGATGCTGGAGGAGAAAAATACATGTTTATAATTGAAATCCTAGTGTTAAAAATAATTATGATAATCCTATAAAAACCTTACAAAAGAAGAGAAGCAGAAATCTATCTGCTCACACAAAGAGCACTGGCACGTAGACACAGTGAAAAATGAAATTATCTCTGTGGATGAGGTAGTCTCTTTGTCTGAACAGAAAACTGCCGCTCTGGATTTTGGAACTGTGGCAGTGTCCTACCTAAATACCTATACTAAATTCAAACAAGGAAGAAAATAACTGTAGAGTTATTCCGCAAATATTTTTTTCTTAGTTATACAAAAGCTTTCTTCTTTGGGCATATTCACACCCTTTCTTACCTTTAATTTCTGTAAATGTTCTCTTTGCCTGGCTCTCACTAGTACACACTGGAAGCAAGCATTCAGCGTAACGTGCTTAGGTTGTTCCAGGATTATTGTTAAACCTTCCTGTGGGTAGTGTTTCAGAGGAGATATACTACCTGAAAATACCTGTTTATATTCTTGTGCCTTTATTCAGCTTGTGAGTATTTTGAGATACTGGAAAGTGGAAACAACGTTTACTTAGTTTTCATTTTAGTCTAGGTAAAAAATAACTTGATTGCCTTATGGATTTTTCCTCGAGCATGCATTAGTTTTATAAAGAAAATATTAGGGAAAATAAGACTGTATGTATTTGTTCATTTCTGAGTTCTGAAAATAGTGGTGGGTTTTGGTTCTTGAATGGTGAATGGAGCTAAGCTTCTGAAGAGCTAAGTGCCACTATAACATTCCATGTGAGAGATACTGAATACTGATATTGTTACAATAATGCTATTAATCTGTTTTAAATTTGACTGCATGGTGTCTTTGTGCTTTCAGAAATGCTCTGTGCACAGTGTACAAAACAGAGCGTGCTATTAAAAGGGTGCATATTCAAGTATTTTGCAGGAAAGAAATAGCAAAACGGTCAGAATGGAATACTTGGAACAGGATCATGTTCTTTTTAGCCTGTCCTTTTGTCACATCTCTCCTAACCTAACAAGTTAAAATTTCTGTTTCTCATCCCTACTCCTGCTAGTCTTGTATTCCCTTTGGGCCATGTCTCAGAGTTTGCGTCTTCCCCAGCATTGAGTCTTGATGGCTTTTTTGTTTCTGTGTTCAAGCAGGTTTCTTCTTCTACATCTTCTGATTCCTTGCAGGCTAGACTTTCTCCTGTTTCTTCTTTTTGTTCTTTTGGTTTTGTTTTTTTCACCCAACTGTTATCCCTTGGGACAACTTTTCATGCTGTGTAGATGCTCTGAGGAGTTGTTTAGAGCTCAGGGAAAAGAGACTCTGGCAGCCGACAGTGGCAAATGAGTTCCAGGCAAAGCAACTGGTTTCAGAGCCAAAGCTGGACAGACCTGTCTTGAATCCATGGGCTGTTGCAGGAGTCATCAGTTACTGTTCGTGTGCCCTGTCAGGTCAGAGCAACCTGTTAAGGGATCGGAACACGCTCGGTACAAGCAGCATCTTTAAAACTTAACTGTTGCACTTGACCAAATCTCAGGCCAGCTTGCAGAAGTTTATGTTGTCAGACTTTGACAGGGCTGGGAAAAGAATCAGCGCTAATGCAAAGATTATCCTCTGCCAAGTTTCAGCTCCTGCTCCAAAGCATGGAAGTTCAAGGAAACCTGACCAAAAATGTCAGAATAAACAAAACACTATTTTTTTTCCTCTTTTTGTTAGATGGGTTCAAAATGCCTGAAATCTTTTCAGGGATTTTTCCACCTCTAAATAAAAGTTAATCCTGAAGCATGCACTATAATTGAAGACTTTTGGCAACTGTGAATAGGAATTAAGAATGAGAGGCATCACATAATCTTAGTATCACCACTTTTTAATCATTACCTCTTAGCCTTGATATGTGTACTTCCATGTAACCTGGTGTGCTTATACACATATACTAAAACAGCCAATCTCCTTATTTTTCATTTTGTCACCTCTACAGACAGGAACTAGATCTACTTGAGAGTCTTACATAGCATACACAATGTTGGAGTGCCATTTCTCAGTGAGCACTTTCCTTTAACTTGAAGCAGAGGGAACGGTAAATGGTAACACTTTTTCAGTGGGATAAATTAGGTTAAAAAGAAAAAGGATTAAGAACATTATTGGAGGAAAATACTATGAATAAAATACAGATATTTGTAGAAGGAATATGCAAAGTCTTAATAATACAAATGCTAAAATGTGACTTTTTGAAATAGGGTTTAAGAAGCCTATACTTCATGGACTATGCACCTTTGGGTTTGCTGCTAGAAACGTTCTGAAGCAGTTTGCAAATAATGATGTGAACAGATTGAAGGCGATCAAGGTCTGTGTGTTCATTCCTTGCAGTTAATTTTCTTGATTTTTTTTCCTGGTTTTAATGCCAAAAAAAATCTGTAGGGTGGGAAGAGACTTTTACGCTGTCTTAACTGCCCCAATTGCTTTTACTTATTGCTGCATACTTTTTAATGCCATTATCTAGTATGTCTACTTGAATATTTAGGCTTTCTGCATTGCTAGTTGACTGATTTTTCTCTTTGTGTTTTCTCATTTCATTAGAGCCTATGCTTTTAAGCTTTGCATGTACATATGATAGATCTGTTCACACTCCCACTTCATTTTTTCTTGCTTTTTTTGTTTTAGGTTCGCTTTGCAAAACCAGTCTTTCCGGGGCAAACTTTACAAACAGAAATGTGGAAGGAAGGAAGTAGAATCCATTTTCAGACCAAGGTCAGAACACATTCACCATTGTGGACTTTAGAGAAAGATGTGTTGGTTAAAAGACTTGGGGGTATGAGGGGAAGCAAAAAGAGTGGCTTGTCAAGCACACCATTGAAGAAGGTCTCGTAAAGAAATTAAGTGAATAGAATGAAATATTCTTACTTAATTTGTGATGTCACTAAGATTTCAGTAAAAATGTTTTTGTAGGACTTAACACGCTCCCTGTATTAAATATTACGAGAACTCATTTCATTGTATTGCATTTTCTGTGTTTATCCACTGTGGAGGAGCAAAAAGCAGTCATTCTCAGGTCAGCATTGTTTGTACTTGTTTTCTGCAGTTAATCATAACCTTTTGTATGCATCTTTGTTTAAACATTTATCTATCTTAAGTCAGACTCCTGACCATTAGTCTATGTAGGTAAACGTCTACAAATTTAACTTAAATTGAGTTAAACTTAAGCTGCATCTACGCAGAACAACTTATTTAAATATTGAAATTTCAGAGCCATTGGATGTAGTAGCTACAATAAAACAGAGTTTACACTTTTTATAAATTCACGTTTTGCATTATTCTATTTTCTTTGGCATTGCTGTTACTATTTTGTGTGGATATCCTGTAATCCTCTCCCACAGTTGGCAGGATACTTACTGGAAGTGAAGGATAAAATACTCCATGTAGAGATGAAAAGTAAATTTTCATCGCTTCTGTTGTAGCATCCTGTGACACTGTCACTTTCTTAAACTACGATTTGCTGCTGGTATTTGTCAATATGTGTTGGCTTATACAGTGATGAAGTTTACGTTGCTTTGCCTGGCCAAAGTTTTGCAACCCCATCTCTGTAAAAATGTAACCAGGTGTTGATTAGTGAGTACAGCACCAGGGATAGTTGCAGCTGCAGAAAGGATTGGACAGGCAAAATCAAATGAGAAGAGTCATCATAAGGATTGCTGTTTCCACAGGAATACAATTTTGTGAAATAAATGTTGACTGAAGGAGGTAAATTTTGTTTGCAGATCTCATGAATGTTAACAGCTGTAGAATTTCAGAATGATAACAGCATTAAGGCTACTACATACAAACTCTCTGCCTCTGGTTACTAGTAGTAAACAAGACAGTTTTGTGCCACAGATGAGCTTTGGAGATGACTGTATTGGAGATGGTGTAACTATTTTTAAAAGGTACTAACATCCAATCCCGACAGAATTTCTAGGCTTCAAGTATTTACTTCTGAGGGTTTGCATGTGCAGTGGAAATTAACAGAATTCATTATATGCTTCCAAGCCCTTTGGAATTTGTAAACAGAGTGGGATGTTTTGTTGTGTTTAGAGGCTGGATTTGTTGTTATGCTTCATTTAGTCATTGCTAATATGTAGAGTTTTGGGGGATTTTGCTGCAGGCTCTTTTTCCAGAAGTGTGGAGTAACTTATTTTGGTAAGAAATTACACTGTTTAACAGGATTATAGAAAACCACCTTGTTTCAATGGTTACGAATTGTGCAGAATTCTGTTTCTTATTGCATGTTGGATTAGTCTGAAGTAAAGCCATCTTTGTACTTGTAATAAACTGTGTTTAAATCAAACTAAAAGTAGACATATAAGTTGGATGCGCTGGTTTAAATCCATTTTTGACATTGTCTGAAGTGCAGTGGCAGCTGGTGACAAGCTGTTAGGCGTGATTTGAGTAATTGCTATTATGTAGTCTTTCTGTATTAATTTCGTCTGTGCAGTAAGCTAGACTATGATACTGAATATCCTCTGCTTTGGCTATTTATCATTTATCATATAGCTCTCTTAAATCTTCCGTTTGCTGTCATAAGTCAGACTGTTTTGTGAGACCCCTTAGAGAGACAATGCCAAAACGAAACCCATTTTCTTCTCTGACTTAACTATTTCAAAAAATTAAAACAGATGAGAATTCAGGTATTTTTCATCTTTCTTGTGTAATCTTTCTGGTTTTGCAATGCTTAAAAAATTGTTTCTAGTCCAATTTGCAGTGTAAAGCACCTGGGGATAGTAAAACTTTCTAGGTGAACTCTTGACAACTGCATATCTACCTTAAGGAAAAACATTTTCAACCAATGTCTTTCTGAAAACTATGTATGAAGTGCCGTTAACACTGGAGGTAAATTTTCACATAAAATGGGGGTTTCTACCATTTTGTGAACAGAAAAACAGCAATATATTTTAGTATAATTTCTTAAGAAACAAATAATTACTTTATTTGAAGACCTGTTTGCAAAACATAGTATACTAACTTGCCTCAAGACTACACGTCATTTATGGGGTGATTTTTTTTTTGCTCTGAAGCTTTTATGTTTTCTCTTTTCTTCATCTCCAATTTTAAAATGTAAGGAAGACTCCTTGATAGCCCTTCTGTTGTGACTTTTTGCAAATATGTTACCTCTTTAATGTAATTTTTTACCTCACCACAGGTCAAAGAGACTGGAGAAGTTGCTATTGCAGGGGCCTATGTGGATATAGTACCAGCATTGGCTAAGCCAGCTGCTCAGGAGCCTCTGAAGGTAGGAGGAAGCAACAGAAGTCTTAAATTGCAAAGCAGTGCAGTTAGTCTTTGTTTTTGTGAAAAACACGGGGAAAAAAAAAAACTTAGATTCCCCTACCAGTCTTATTTGCAGTACTTAGATGACCATATTAGTTCAGAGATATGCACAAGCACATTGTTTAAGATACAGAGGTTCATGGATCTGTTTGAGGGGAAAAATACAGATGTTTTGAGATACGCAGGATGATGGATGAAGTTTGAAGTGCTCAATGCCAATTGAACAGTTAGGTTAAGCATCGCACTGTGTATTACAAAACAAGTGAGGCATGCACTGGTGAGGGCCACAAGTTTTGAGCACTTGCGTAACTTAAGATTGGAATTAGTCCCTATAATTCGGGGCTGTGCCTGTGAAATCAGCCTTTTTGGTTTTATTTTGTAGGTGTTGAAGACCAAACTAAATGTAGATTATACAAGTGTGCGACCTTTCTTTCTCAGTTTTTTCAGAGAGATGTGGGGAAAGTTGCAGGAAGGCTCTAGAAGAACAGAACAAATGAAAATGAGATAATATACTCATAGAAAACAACAGTTTTGTCACTGAATCATTTTGAAAGGAGTCTGATGGCTGTTTGTGCATGTGGTTAGGCCTGACACACAATATGTACTTTATATAGTTTTAAAAAATCCTCTGCATGCATGCATTGAGCTTTGAGTACTGGACTTGCCACGAAAGACAGAATTATACATGCAGTGCTGAGGATGTTCTGGGTTCGTAATACGGTCTAAAAGACATGGGTGCACAGTGCATTGTCTTAATAAACGATATCTTTTTTTCGCCATTGGTTCCTTCTTGCAAAGAATGAAACTTTAGTGCATTGAAGTTTATGAAGTACTGAGATATTGACATTCACATATAGCTTGTGATATATTCCTGGAACATGTTTCTTTTTGCTGATTGTGTTTAGTCCTAGTCTAGCATTGTGAACTGTTGCTAAATCTACATTTGAAGTTTAAACATAAAAACATTAGAACTTTTCAGTGAAATAATTACAGAGATTTTTTTTTAACATAGGCAAAACAGTATTTTTTTCTTTAAGCTTACTCTGAGAAATGTAAAGTGCTTTGGCAGAAGTTTGCTGACAGAGGCAGACACCCACCTGAGTAAACTAGCCCGAGTGAGTGAAGATTGGGAAATTTAGATGTCATCGGGAACTCTGTTATATAATGGAAAATGTGAGGCTTAACCAAAGAGGTGACAAGATAGCTGTGTGAGCAGTATTGCGTTATGATGTACAGATAGATACAGCAGAACAACTAAAGCCATGAGACCTTCTTTGCTCCAATTCCTGTTAGATGAAAAATGTCTCTGGAGCAGCTTCTTAAAGTGTAGCATTTTACCCAGTACAAATATTTGTTAAAAGAAAGACAATGAAAGGCTTACAAAATAATACGTGTTTGGAAAAGTTGAAAATATAAATGTAGCTAATCTCACTCTTAAATGATAAGCATGTGTCTATGCTGGAGTTCTGGCTGTGTTCATAGTGCGATATGTTTTGAACATCCTCCGTGTCAAGTTAAAGTGATGTACTGGTAAAAACATTTTTATGTTCTAAAAACTAACATGCCATTCACCATAAAAAAAAGTGGCAATGGTTATCGTCCAAAGGGAAAAAAGGGCAATTTAGAAGCCCTTAGAGCCCTAATTATAAAACATGTCTTAAATTGTAGTGATAAATGACAAAAACTGCAAAAGCAAGATTTGAAATAATTCTGAAGGAAGAGTCCATGAAGCGTTTTCTGCTTGAATGTACTCTTTGATGCTTACAATTGCTAGAGGTGATTATTTGTAGTGGAAGAAATCTGAATTGCATTTAATAATTCTGCAATAGAGACTTCCCTGGACACAGTGCTTGAAATAAAAGACGTATTTAGTACTTTTTTAACAGAGTTTCAATTTTAAAATCTTCATACTCACTGTCTTTTTTTAAGACTGCAGGGCTGCAGAGTGACCTTGTGTTTGAAGAAATTAATCGTCGCGTAAAAGAGATTGGAAATGAATTGGTAAAGAAAGTAAATGCTGTATTCCAGTGGGACATCACTAAAGATGGAAAAAAAGCAATGCAGTGGAGTAAGTTGTAACTTTTATATAATGCCCTGATGCATTTTTTTTAATGAAGTGAGATTAATTATACCCATTCTAATTAAACTGGTGTCTCGAAAATAAGCATAAGGTACTAGATGAATACTCACTGAGACCTAAAAATCTAAATGCATACTGAATGCACATGTAACAAGGAGTTCAGATAAAGTTCTATAATGGCAGTTACTAACCTTTCTAGAAACATACCTCTGTAACTTCCCTTTTTAGCTGTAGGCATAGGCAAACCATCCTCTAAAACTTCAGTGTATTTCTGTGTACATTTTCCAGGATGAATCGCCACAGCACTTAGAAAAGCAGGCTAAATTAACCTGCTAGGAGCTCTGTGTTACAGTAATTAGTCTGTTGGTGATGTACACCCTAACTAATCTATAACAAATAAGTATTTATTTCTACTGTGTTGTTCTTGTCACTTCGGTGAAAATATGGCCCAGTTTGTTTCCATTCAAATTTTCTGAGATCAGGATTTAATGAAGGTATAATGATGCTTACCCATCCTTTAAGCATGGGACTGGATTGATGAAGAGAGGCTAAAGCTTGTGATAGCAATGGGTCAGAGAGGAAGTGTTTCCTAGTCAAGTGGATTATGCAAGTGTGTGACATGGTCCGATGGGGGCAAAACTGCTTCCTCAGAAAACTTCTCTTAAATTCTCTTCTGTCTAGTTTCTGAGGACATATATTTTTGCAAAAAGCAGTCTGATTTTAGTAATTGGATATATTTCATTGTCTTTTGAATTATTCAAGTTTTTTTTTACTGAGGTGTCCTAAATGGTCTATTAGAAAAATGTAAAGTTTTACCAAAGGAATAAACCACAATCAGTTTGTAATGTCCAGGCCTTTGCTTCTTTGTGCAGAAAGCCTTGGGGTCAAATCTGTCACTTAAACTGCTTCATTTTGATAGATCTCAATGGTTGGATCCAGTCAGAACAGTTCTGGGGAAGATACAGATGAGGTGGGCTGTGCTTTGACAGGCTGAGGGGAAGAGACTGACATGTTGGTAGGTCAGATCAGGTCTGCGTTGTGCTTTGTGCCATAGATTGTGACTTTTTTAACTATTGTTAAGTCTTTGCAATGTCTATTCTCAATAAATGGTTATTGTGTTTAAGAATCTGCTCTTCCTTTTACGGAGCCATTTAGAAACCTGTAATTTCACTTTCTCCTTTCCTATTGTTAGCCAGCAGAGATTCTGAGTAGCAAGACTGCTGTTAAGTTTCAGGAAAAATACCATACATAGATTGATCAAGGTAGTTCTGTTCCACCTGTATTGCCTTTTAAGCAATTTTTGAGGGATAAGGGGTGATTTCCACTTGGAGAGCAGTTAATCATTGAATATACCTGTGTAGATTATGCAGGCTAAGTACCTATACATCAACATGAGAGGGGGATAAATACTGTGTAATTCAGCTCAGAACATCTGTCTTAAAACTCATTACTGCTCTTAATCATTCCTGGCATCTGCAGTTTTCCCCTTTTACACTCAGTAATCTAAATGATGGGCATGCTTAGAACCTGGATAGAAAGCTTATGAAGACTTTCCTGTGTTCTTGCTTCCATTTTTAGAAAATACATTAGAAGCACATAGAGTAAATTCCAAAACGCTTAAAGTAGATACTCATGTTTGTTAGAGAATCACTTTGTACACTACATCAATCATGTCTATTGTTTCATGTGTAACTAAACATCATGTAAGTGATGGTCAAGTTTGTAATAGCAACCAGAAAACTATCTTCAAGATGATTTAGCATTGTCTTTAATTTTGGAACTGCTTTGTTTGTCACCTAAACTCAGTATTACATATGTGCAAAGAAAAGAGGGACAAATCTATGGAAGAAGAATCTGATGAGAAATGTTCAAGACACGAATAAAATTTCTTGCTCAGGAAGACCTTAAGCTGCAAACTGCTAAACGCAAAACAGGCATGCTTAAAGATTTAGGCCTGAGCAGTGGCCTTGCCTGCCTCATGAGACCAGGTTTTATTAGAGGGGAAACAGGTGGATTTTTTGCTATTGTATCCAGAGAGAGAGAGAGTACTCCTGCTTTGAGTAAATCAAGAGTCAGCCTCTTCTGTTTTTCAAGGAAAGCTTGTCCTCCCTTCTGTTTCCTACTGAAACAGTAGGAGGAAAGTAGTGCCTTCTTCCAGTGCTTATTTCTGTAGCTAAAAGGGATTAAATAGACATAACATTTCTTTGTCCTGTTCCCTCTGCTTCTGTTGCAGTGAACAATAACTGTACTTTTATATGAATTTGGAACTACTTAAAGGTCCTTGTGGGATGGAGGGTGGAAGAGGTAATCTAATATTTTAAACATTTTCTGTTGCTGAATACTATTAGCTGCTTGAGCTTAAATGAAACATTTCCAAAATCTTGGAAAAGTTACTGCAAATTTTTGTATAGTGTGCTATAGCTTCCTTCAAGCTTAGGTGTCAAAACAGTGGCTAGTGTTTATGAATTACTGTAGTCTCTATAGTGTAGTCAATATGTAAGACTGAAAGAAAATACCTAGGTGGCAAGAAAGGTGTCTGTAGAAAATGCTGCTTATTTTCCTTATCAGGAATATTGATATGCAAATACTCCCCTTGTATATCACTTTTTCCAAAGAACTTTCTGTTTCATCTGATGTTTTCTGAATGTTTTTGTGTGTCTGAAGTTTCAAGCAGTTGAAGAATGAAGAAACCAAGAGTTAGTTAATGTAAAAATAAAATAATTAAAATTAAATTTTGATTAATAATTTAAATATTCAATTGTAATATTAAAATAGTTATGTAAACTCACTGGCAGAGTATTAGCAGTTGTGACAACTGTAATGTCAACTCTCACAGTTTGTCCTTGTGTGAATTGATGGCATACTACTGTTGCTGTCTAACTCTGATGGTAGATTTCTAGTGCCAAGGTATGTATATCTGCATGATGGAATTTTTATTTTGAGGATTTTTTAAGCACTATTCTGATCATTAAAAAACCCCTAAACAAACACAGAGCAAAAAAAAAGACATTCCAGAGGCAAGCATTCTAGATTTTTAAGCAATTGCCAGCTTAATTCTTTTTGCTTGTTTGCCTACATTATTACTCAGTATTCAAGAGCATCCTCATGTACTGTTACTGTCATTTCTACCAGATACTAGCGTAATTCATTTTGCGTGGTGAATGTGGAAGAAGAGAGTAGTTTGTGGCTTTGCATTCAAAGGAAGTCAGCTTTCTTGGAGTTAAGATACTGTCTGTAACCCAGAAGATTTCTGACAGATCTTTATATGGTCATCACCAAGATTTTTGTAATGCAGATGAATGATGACAGCCAATTTAGAATATGTAACATTGACAATGCCAATTACTGACTTGAATGCGTGACTTTTTCTGTTTTTAATGGAATGGAAGCTTCTGTACATAATTAGATATTTTAACCTTTGACAAATTAATGTTTTACTTCAAAAACAGAAGGTGATAGTAAGATGTTACCTTTACTGTAGCTTGATTTTAATTGTATGTCACTGTTTTGACTGGTTTCAAACCTGCTTCAGATGTTAATGCTAGTCAGCTCTGTCAGTAGAATTGCACTTCTTTACACTACCTTTAAATTTGGCCCGCTGATTATTAGTTAATCTTCTGTGTACAATAATTCAAAATCAGTTTCGTAAATGTTATACTAAGATTATAACAATTTTGATTTATGTTTCTCTCTTTAAGTAAAATTGCTGTTTTCAGAGCTAGATCCTACAACATACATTGCTACAATAAAGCAAAGAGGAAAATATGACATTAAAATTAATTTAAAACCTGGTTCCTGTGGATAAATATTGCATACTCTTTCAATGTGTGGTCAAAATTCTTGACATGGGGCAGTTTTTTTGTTTTGTTTTAAGCATTGAATTAATGCTAATTGTTTCATTAATTGTCTCCTTTTTAGGCCTCTCTTTCTAAGGGTGTCCCAGGTCTTTACAGGCATTGTTTGTGGTTCTTTTGGGCTACCTGCTAGGTCTAAACTTTCCCTTACTATATTTGTTACATAGTTGTGCTGGCTTGTCTTTCAGTTTTTTGACTTGTCACTTCTGCACAGATTTGTGCTGTTGTGAAAACTGCAGCAATTGACAGCGCTAGAAACATCTGGGCCGCGCAACTCACTGCTGTCTTACTCAGTGATTGTAGCTCCAGCATCTTCTGCTAATGTCCTTGAGCCTTTTAACATCTGGGAGGAGACTGAGAGGGAAGCAAATGAGAAAAAGCAATGTTAAGGACTTCTGTGAAATTTCTTCTCTTGTACACAGTTGTTCTGGTGTTTTCCAAACTGTCAGAAATCAAACTTTTTTTTTAAATTTTCTGTTTATTTTTAATGTTTTGTTTATATCGCAAATGTAACCTTTTGATCTCTCTTCTCTGCAGTAAGCCAAGGTTTTTGTTTATTACTTTAAATGAAGTGGGATTTGTGAATTGGATTTAGCTTTTGTTGTTACAGAGACACTTCTTGATGGTAACACTAATATTAGTAGCACTAGTCTGTTTAATTAGCAATGACCTTTACTTTTATGTAATTCTCTGTGGATGGTGTGAAGCCATGAGGAGGTGTAGAACCATTGATCTTGCACTCAGAATGTGAAATTTTAGATAGCTCATTCGCTGTCTAAACAGCATTGAACTGTAGCCACTGACAGCTGGTCTTAATTACTGGTATTTTTTCATAGAAGCAATCTGTTCTAATTTAAGAGGATGCTGAAAATCCTCTTAAGAAGATAAAGCAATACAGATTTTGACAGTGTCAAAACCTAAGGAATAAGCTTAGCGGTACTATCTTTTCTTATTTTTAAACAGAATTCTTAATTGAAACCCTTTGACTTCTCCACTTGGCTTCACTGCCTAAAGCATGCTTTCCTAGATATTTATTACTGTACAAGAATTGCCTTTGTTTTCAACAGTTATAAAATATTTATCTTTTTATAGAGTTAACTACTTCATTTCAACTTCTCTTTCCATAGAGAAAAGACATTGCCATTCAGATTTGTTAGCTAATAGTTAACGGCTCTCTAGAACAGTACTCATAAGAGCTTACCCATCTGTTGCTTTTCATCATGCTTCTGAAGGCAGAAGATACTTCTGGTCCTTTCCAGTTCTCAAAAGAATAAAACTTTTTTAGGAGAACTGGGGAGAAATTGTTACATGCAGTTGATTGTGACCATCTGACAAATGATGGCGAAACTGCTTAATAATTTACGACACAATATAACTTCAGGCAATGAAGGGTGGGTGACACTTTGTTTTGTTTGCGTTGAGGATGAGTCTTGCAGTCACTTACTCTGTGTAAAGCAGAATAAAAATCAAACCGAACCAAACAAAATGTAGTCTGACCCCTTAAGATTTCTCTCCCGGAAATAGTAAGGCACTTCTTGAAAGAAAAGCAAAATCTGTGCCCCAAACCTTAGGTTTTTAGGCTATTTGGCTACCTGCTATAGAATGTCAATGTCCAGTGTTATAGCCTGTATATATGTGATTATATTTTATATATATATGTGATAATAATTCATAGATACTTATTTGCTGTAATGTAACACTTATGTATACAAGTAAAAACAAAAATTTGAAGGATAACTACTGTTTCATCCACTGAAATTGCTTAATTCTGCTTTTCTACCAGGTGTGTAGTACTAAAACTTTACATATTTAAGAAGCTAGCTGATCTTTAAAGAGGATTTCAGGTGTCATTTGTGTTACTACACACAGTATTCAGGAGTACCATGCTCGTGTTTCAGACTTTTTTTTTTTTTTTTTTGTATGGAGTGGATCAGCCATGCGGATGGCTAGGAGAAGAGCTGCATCTGTGGCAGACACACAGGCTACATATTCTCAGGAACAAAGAACACCAGAGACACCTTGAAGCTACTCATCTGTTACTACTAGCAGCGGAGCCGCACTAGCAGCTGCCCAGGTCACCAGCCACCTCAGCACGGACATAGCTGTGCCAGTACCAAGTCATGTCAAGCTGGCCGCTGCAAACGTAGCGCGGCGTGCAAGCTGCAGTGACGAGGCGGTAGCTATAACCACAGAGACGTGTATCCAGGAGATACGTGCAGAAGTGATGTGTAGGAGACTTGCATCAAGACTGCTTCCTGCTACAGCAGGCAGCTGTGTTAAATAACTTTGTCTCATAAAGTTGTAATTTACAAGAAGGCACCCTTTCTGGTCGTTTTGGAAAGCTAGAATTTTTCTGCTCTGGTCGTTGGAATCTGTTCTGGTATTCGGCTCATTTCTTTCATTGCTAGTTGATATCAATTTGTCCATGTGCCAGTGCTGTAGTTTAGTCTCGGTTGTCATCTGAATACTCTAGGGTGGGTGTACGTGAGGAGACAAGAAGAATGACGGTGTGTGTTTCTAATCCTTTTTTTTTTTCCCCTCTGAAAAAAAATGAATGAGGAAGTTTTTGGGTAGTTTTCAATTCTCTGTAAGGAGGGCAGTTCCTTTCCCTCTTTAAAATATCAACATATGGTGTATTTTGGATCAGTCTTACTCCAGTGTGATTCATCAGAATTCACCCACTAGGGCTTATGTATCAAGTTTTGGGATTTCATTTCCTCCTGCTAGTTCCTTTGGGGGTTGGAGTGGCTTTTTTTTTTTTTTTTTGACTGCTTGCATTAGAGGTGTCATAAATTGATCATGATGAAGCTAATGAAAAGGAATGGGTCAAGTAACAGTAGAAGGTCCGTCATGTTTTACGAAAAAAACAACATTTGTTGTCACAGATCTCGTCCCTTTTGTGGCTGCTTTATTTTTTTTTCTTTTTTTCTTCTTAGCAAAAATCTTAATGCTCTTTAAAAAGAATAAAGAAGAAAAAGAAGTGATATCTTTATATTTTTGGGAAAAGAAAATACTATTGGATTGTTGTTTCCTTAGAATTTCTAATAAGTTTTAATTTGAGATGGGTTAAGGATTTGATCTGATTAAACATAACAGTTTTGCCCACGATACCATGATTATGCAATGTTTACATGTATATTTCTGCTTTGAGAGTTTACAATTATAGACGTGGATTGATAAGTGATGCTCTTGAGACTTGGATAGGGAATGGAGAAGGAGAACAGGGATTGTAACAATATTAAGTATGTACTGTATTTAGATTAAAATCTAACTGTTGTTAGGACTTGCCTGAGTCACAATACCTTTTTGATTCTTTTTGTTGTCTGAACTTTGCACTGCTAAGACTGATGGATCAGTGCTATCAATAAGATATACCAAAACAGCTTTTCCACCCAGTGCTTAATAGAGAAGGAGAAGAAGGTCTGTTGTGTCTTGGGAGATGTTGTGTCAGGCTTTCAGCATCTGGGGTTCCTTGTGGAACAGTCTGGGAAGGATAAGGATAGCGAAAATCATTAATGCATGCAAAACGAAGCACAAGAATGGACTCATTCTCTTTTGATAGAAATAAGGTCCAGAAGTTATTAAAAATAAATAATTAAGATCTGTAAGCATCTAGAAAACCATGTGTGTTTTGTGAATTTATATGTGCAACTTGCTGACCAGTGCTATTTGACTTGAAGCTCGGTGTGGCTGCATTGGCATGGTTTGTAACATTGCTAGCATTTGAGTAGAGGTGTATTTTAAAAGCACGTTGGCAGTTGAGCTTGGTTAACTTAATCTGAGAAGCTGGTATCCACTGTGAAACTTGCTTTTTTTTTTTTTTAAATAGTCTGTGCCTGCATAACCTACAGGGGCAATGTTTAAAGGCTCGTTTATGGTATTAGACTATATAGTAGATGTTTTGAATCAAAAGAATGTTACACAACTCCTACCCACAAATATAGGAGGTATAGATTGTTTGTCTGGTGCTCAGTAATTTTTTTTTTGTTTCTTCTCCTCTTATTGCATCAATTAGTGATGTCCATTATACATGTTCCTGAAATGACAATCTACCTTAAAATTGAGTGGATAATAATAATCCAGTATGTCAGTTCTCACTGAGCATCATTGTACACTAATTCCCCTTCTAGTTGTGTTACAACCGAACAAATATTACTTAGATTTCAGAAAATGAAGGACTTTACTAACAAAAGTTATTCTCAGTCTGTATAGTTCACCTTACCCTTTCAGAAAAATTATTTGGAACAAAAATACACGTGAGGCGATAGTTTATGCAGAAATAAGTCTCCATAGTTAGGCGAGCATCTTAAAATTTGGCAATTAAGAGAAACCAACTGACAGTATTAGTATTGGCTAAAAA